GATCTAGATCAAAGACTCTGAAGTGTTGAAATTACAGACTCGTAGAACATTGGAATCACAAGCTATTAGATCCAAGGGATCCGACAGTGGGAGTCACAGACTATTTGAATCATAGGATTCTAGTATGTCACACTAGAACCTGGGAGTGTTAGACATATGGAGCTCCCGCTGTTGGATGTTATAGAAAGGGAATTTTGTAGATGGTCTGGACATTAGTGAAGGAGTCCTGGCCGTCTGCTGTCCAGTATGGTAGTCGCTGGCCCCAGCAGGCTCCTGGGCATTTGGAATGTGGTGCATCTGAGATGCTGTGAGTGGAAAATATACCCCAGATTTCAAAAATGGGTAGGAAAAAGCAATGTGAGATCTCTCGATAACTTTTTATATTGATCCTCTATTGAAATGATATTTTAAATATATTTGGTTCAATAAAACATATCACCCAAATTCGTGTTATCTGATTCTTTTGGTTGCTCTTTGCTTGTCCCTTGCTTAGCTGCTGGAAAATGTAAGCTCCCATATGTGGCTCACATCGTATTCCTATCAGACAACATGAAATCTGGAGTAATACGCTCCTGGAGGTCAGAGGTGTGATGCCCGGGGAAGGTCACGTGACACGGCTGCGGGGGAGGAGGCTCTGACCCAGGCCCTGGGGAGCCTGGTCTGAGGCACAGGTGGGTGGGTTGGTGACAGGGCACTTGGCGGTGGGGAGTGGGGTGGGGCAGGGGATGGACACGGCCCAACTCAGCCAAACCCAATCATCCACTTCCTTTTCCCACCACTTCCTCTTTAGGACTTGTTGACCCAGCAGATCCCCCAAGCCCCAGATTTGGCAACAGCCTGGCCCTTCAGCCCACTTCCCTTCTGGGCAGGGCTACTCAACACCTCAGAAAAGCCACCCAGATCCCTGCTCGCCGGCCTCCAAGTGTTTCTAGAAGCCCGGGGAGGCCCAGCTCTTGGAACAGCATCTCCTTCCCAAACCAGAGCAAGGGAAAGACCTCACTGCCTGCAGCCCACTCCCCAAACCAGGAAAGCTAGCGTCTGACCAGGAACAGAGATGGAGAGAGGGGGATGGGGGGAATGGGGGGGGTAGAGGAGGAAGTCAAGAAGGACTTCCTGGAGGAGGCTGCACCCTGAAAGAAGGTAGAATAGGGACAGGGATGATCAGAGCACCTGGGATGATCGGGGCGCCTGGGTGGCTCAGTCAGTAAAGCGTCTGCCTTCAGCTCAGGTCATGATCCCAGGCTCCTGGGATCGAGTCCCGCATCGGGCTCCCTGCTCAGTGGGGAGCCTGCTTCTCCCTCTCCCTCTGCCTGACAGTCCCCCTGCTTGTGTTCTGTCAAATAAATAAATAAAATCTTTAAAAAAAAGAACAAGGACAGGGATGATCTTTTAAAAACAGGCCGGCAGCCGGGAAACCAGACAGGAAGCGAGGCAGAGACCCAAGTCCGGGAAGAGGGGGGAGCTTCGACCTGGAAGGGTGTCGGGTGGGAAGAGGGTGGCCTCCAGCCTGGGTCCCAGGCACAGGCTTGGTGACTTCGTGGACATAGGGCTTCCCTGGGATGGGGATATGAAGGGGGGGGGAAGGCTTTGGGAGAACATGACAAGGTCAGTTTGAGTGAGGTCAGTGGGTGCCGAGGCCACACCCTCAAGAGCTGTGAAGGTACCGGGTGAAGCTGTAAATGTGGGCAGCGTGATGGAGAGAGAGAACTCCAGAAAGCCAACATTTAAGGGCCGAGGAACAAACTCTGCTGATGGGAGGTGGAGATGGGAGGAAAGGGTCGTAGAGAGAGGACGCCCCGCTGTGGGAAGAGGGTGGGGAGGGATGTTGGCTGTCTAGCTAGAAGGGACATCCAAGATCACAAGCGGCTTCCGGGATGGTACCAGGCGCCCCCTGCCCCAACCCGGCCCCGGCCTGAGGCTTAGGTCTCCCCCAAAGACTGTGGTGCCTGAGGATCTGCCCAGGTATCAACGTTTACTACCAAAACCACACACAGCCCCTTCTAGAAGCCCAGCAGAGCACCTGTCCTCTGTGCTCAGACAGTGTCTTCATTTTTTTTTTAACTTATTTATTTACTTGAGAGAGCGCGCGCGTGCGCAGGAGTAGGGGAGAGGGGCAGAGGGAGAAGGAGAGAGAGAATCTCAAGCAGACTCCATGCTGAGCGGGGAGCCCGACGTGGGGCTCGATCCCAGGACCCCAGGATCATGACCCGAGCCAAAATCAAGAGTCTAACGCGCAACCAACTGAGCCACTTAGGGGCCCCCAGACAGTGTCTAAATAAAAGTTGTACCCAGGCAGACACGACCATACTGTAGTAGCAGGATCCAACTACATTTGGCCATAATCGCGCAAGATCCCAGCCCAGCACTGCAGACTGTTCCCTGGGCTCAGACTGCTCTTGCAAAGGAGGACGACGAGGCGATACCCACGTTGTTCACTTTGGAGGCCACCCGCCCTGCGTGGCTCCTGAGCACTTGAAATGGGCCAGTCTGAATTGAGACGTGCTGTGTGTAACATACACACAAGATTTTGAAGACTTGGGGGCGCCTGGGTGTCTCAGTCGGGTAGGCAGCCGACTCTTGATTTCAGCTCAGGTCACGATCTCAGGGTTGAGACTGAGCCCTGAGTCAGGCTCCCCGCTTAGAATGAAGCCTGCTTAAGATTCTCTCTCTCTGGGGCGCCTGGGTGGCTCAGTTGGTTAAGCGACTGCCTTCAGCTCAGGTCATGATCTCAGGGTCCCGGGATCGAGCCCCGCATCGGGCTCCCTGCTCCGCGGGAAGACTGCTTCTCCCTCTGACCCTCCCCCTGCTTGTGTTCCCTCTCTCGCTGTCTCTCTCTCTGTCAATTGAATAAAAAATAAAATAAAATCTTTAAGATTCTCTCTCTCTCTCTCTTCCTCTGCCCCCTCCCCCCACTTACTTGCACTCTCTCTCTAAAATAAATAGATCTTTAAAAGATTTTGAAGACTTAGTATAAAAAAAGTAAAATATCTCACCAATAACTTCACATTGATTACATGTTGAAATAAAAATATCTGGGGGGTGGGGCACCTGGGTGGCTCAGTCGTTAAGCATCTGCCTTCAGCTCAGGTCATGATCCCAGGGTCCTGGGATCGAGCCCCGCATCGGGCTCCCTGCTCGGAGGGAAGCCTGCTTCTCCCTCTCCCACTCCCCCTGCTTGTGTTCCCTCTCTCGCTGTCTCTCTCTCTGTCAAATAAATAAATAAAATCTTTTAAAAAAAATTTGGGGGGCATCCGGGCAGCTCAGTCGGTTAAGTGTCAGGGTTATTTTATCTGTTTCTTTTACATTTTTAAAGTTAATTATTTTATTTAAGTAATCTCCACACCCAATGTAGGGCTCGAACTCACAAGCCCAAGATCAAGAGTCTCACGCTCCACCGAGTCAGCCAGGTGCCCCTGGTTCTCCTTAATTTTTTAGTGTGGCAACTAGTAAATTGAAAACTACCATGCAGCTCACATCATATTTCTGTTGGACGGTGCTGGTCTGTATATTTCTAGCCAATCCACACACAAGCACACACACACAAAACACCAAACAGAAATGTTTTAAAGTCATTTATAAATAACACAACATTACAATGCTTATTTTTTTTAATTTTCATTATTCAAGTGCTGAAGACTAGTTTTTTCTTCTTTAAGATTTTTTTTTTAAACATTTTATTTATTTGACAGAGAGACACAGCAAAAGATGTTTTTATTTATTTTAGAGAGAGAGAGAGAGAGAGAGAGCGCATGAGCAGGGGGAGGAGCAGTGGGGGAGGGAGAGAGAGAATCTTAGGCGGACTCCATGATGTGTTCAGACAGCCCCTCCTCCCAAAGCGGGGCTCAATCCCAGGACCCTGATATCATGACCTAAGCTGAAATCAAGACTCGGCTGCTTAACCGACTGAGCCACCCAGGCGCCCTCAGACTAGTTTTTTGTTTTTGTTTTTTAAGTCGAAAGGTTACATGATTGATAGAGCATTCCTTGAAAGGGCAAATTTGGAGAGTGGAATGATGGTTGCCAGGGGTCCAGGACGGGGCTGGGAGGGTGGAGGGATGTGAGGGTGACTGACAAAGGGCATCATCAGGGATCCTAGTGGTGATGAAAATGTCCTGCCCCTCGAGTGTATCAATGTCAACATCCTAGTCCTGATCTTGTAATGTCATTTTGCAAGAGGTTCCCATAGTAAAGCAGGTCAAGGGCACACAAGATCCCTCTGTATCATTACTTACAACTGCATGTGAATCTACAGTGATAGCAAAGTTTCTTTCTTTCTAAAAAAAAAAACAAAACAGTTTCTTTTCTTTTTTTTTTTTTTTGAGAAGCGCACACAAAAAAGCAGTTTACAAAGTAAAAAGTCCAATTTCCCTGTCACCATCTTCCCCCGAGGTGCCCAACCAATGTTTCCGAGCCCCTCCCAGCACGCCTTCCTCAACACCTGCTTTTCACCAGAACCATGTAACATATTTTTACTTCATGCATTTTCTCAAAACCCAATTAAGTGACACTTTAATTCTCTGCTTGTCTTTAAATCAGCTCACTTAGAAAAGCTTAGCCAGTGAATTTTGCTTTGTCCTTGACAAGAATACCTTTTGAGAGGCTCCTTTCCTCAGCTCTCTGTAAAATAAATACATCACTATTGTTTAAAGGTTAGACAGTTTCCATTTGTCTGTTTTCTCTGTATCCAATGTGTTCTATTCACGGGCTCCCCCTGCACCCAGCAGAGACAGACAGGGCGCCCTTTGGGGGTGCTCCGGGGTAATAATGGTTTCTGCCTGTTTTCCAAAGCCCTCGGACGGAAAGAAAAGTTGAGGGTCCCTAGAGGGACCCATCCATCCTGAAAGTGAGGGAGGACCAGTCTGGAAAAAATGGAAGGGAATGGAGGAGTGTTCACTCAAACATCAGCACCCCACCAAGGGCTGGGGTCAGAGAGGCCGAGAGCGAAGGGACAGGCGAGAAAGGGGGAGCACTGAGCAGATGGTGGGCGGAAGACCCTCCCCTCACACCGCCTGGCTCTTCACAGCTGGGGTGTCCATCGTGGAGAGGGTGAAGGACCTGCTGTCCCTGCCCACGGACTCCTCGGTCAGCACCTGCCGGAGCGTGGCCGGAAGGGACTTGAGGAAGCGGCTGTGGAATCCCTGGGCTGCCACCACGTAAATGATGGGGTTTATACAGCAGTTGATGTAAGCGAAGGCCACGCACAGGGAGTCCAAACTGGACACGGAGATGAAGATTTCCGAGTTCTTGTAGAACAAGGCCAGCATCATCCCCGTCACCTGGTAGGGCAGCCAGAAGATGAAGAAGCTCGTCACCACCGCCACCACCACCTTGAGCGTCTTGGTGGAGCGGGTAGCGCTGCGGCTCCAGGTCCGGATCAGGAGGAAGGTGTAACAGATGCTGAGCGTCACCAGCGGCCACAGGAAGCCCACGACCAGCCGCAGGATGGCCACGCCCCTCTCCACCAGGAACCCGTCGGGGCCGTAGTCCACGCCGCAGATCATCTTGAAGGGAAAGTGCTCTATGAGCACCCGGCGGAAAATGAAGGAGGGGATGGTCAGCAGCAGGGCCGTGCCCCAGGCCACGCCGCAGGCCACCCAGGCCAGCCACGCCCCTCGGTAGTTCTGGCACCAGATGGGATTAAACACCAGCAGAAAGCGGTCAGCGCTGATGATGGCCAGGAGCAAGATGCTGGCATACATGTTGAGCAGGATGAGAGAGGGCAGGATGCGGCAGGCGGCGCTGCCGAAGGGCCAGTGGCCATGCTGAATGATGGAGGCAAACAAGATGGGCAGCGCCAGGCAGGACAGGAGATCGGCCGCTGCCAGGTTGAGAAACCAGATGGCATTGATGGTCCGCCGGACCTCGTACCCCGTCACCCAGACCACCAGGCTGTTGCCTGGCACTCCCACCAGGAAGACTGTCATGAAGATTACCAGGGCAATCGTGTCGGAGACAGACAGCCGGGGGGCGCTGGGAGACTCATCCACAGACATGTTGGGGTCCAGGGTGGCAGTGCCATAGTCAGGGTACTCCACGGTGCTGTAATATACAGTGGCCTGGGTGGGATCAGAGAGGCAAAGGGGAGATGAGTCTGCAGACAGGTGCCAGAGGCCCGTCGGAGCTCCGTGGCTGGAAGCCCCAGGTTTCTCCCCAGGAAAGTGGGGGTGTTAAGGACTGAGAGGCTGCTTGGGGGCGTCATACCACTTATAAGAGTGGAAAAACCTTTCCATGCTGATGAGTCTCCGGGCCACCCTGTCGCCTCCCCGTGAAGTCCCTGGACATCCCTATGATCCAGCAACCAAATGGTTAAAACCCAGTCCTGCTGCAACGTTGTAGTCACTGTCCATTGTGACTGGCCGACACACATGACACACTGCTTCTTAGCTATTTTTAATGTCATCAACAAACTGAGATGATATTACTGGGTAGTTTACCCACAGACACCCACCACCACCATCACCCCCTTTTGCTGCCTCCCACCCACTGAGGCAGCTCCGTGCCCCGTCTGGCAGTGGCTCCCCAGAGAAGGTAGTGGCTCAGCAGGGCCTCACATACTGGGGCACAACATTTAAGTGAGGGGAAAGGGGGAACCAAAGAAACCCAGGGGCGCCTGGGTGGCTCAGTCGTTAAGTGGCTGCCTTTGGCTCAGGTCATGACCTCAGGGTCCTGGATCGAGCCCCGCATCCAGCTCCCTACTCCACGGGGAGTCCGCTTCTCCCTCTCCCTCTCCCTCTGTGCTCTCTCTCTCAAATAAATAAATAAATAAAATCTTAGGAAACAAAAAGAATGATGGGAACATGTCAAAAGGACACAAGAGCCTGGCAGGGACCCCTAGTCAAAGATGAGCCAATTTGAGTATATAATGATGATGATGATGATGATGATGATGATGTTATGGAATGAAACACATTAATATATAAAGATCTATGAGTTCAAAATGATAATAAAAACAAGCAAACCCATTGGTCACTTTTTTTCCAGAAAGGGAACAAATCAAGCATTTATCCTGCCACTTCGCACAGGGTACATTTCAGGGAAAGCAAGAGTCAATGTGGGAAAGTCTTCCTTTAGAGAAAAATCTAAGAATAATACCTGCAGCTGGAATGACAGAATTCAGGAAATAATGGGTCTGGATGGTGACCATCAACATCTGATAAAACCATCGAGTGAAAGACTGATGGGAACTTTACAATAAACAGGATGGGCTCGTACCCCAAACCGGCCAATCAACCTCAGCATCCGGAGAAGAGAGACAAGCAGACATTCTGTTCTATGTGATGTGATGCTTTAGAAAGGACACAGCCCCACCTATGAATAATTCTTGCAAATGAACAAATGTGAGTCTAATCAAGGTTCTAGATCAAAAACTACCAGTCTTGGTGCACCTGGGTGGCTCAGTCAGTTGAGCATCTGACTCTTGGTATTGGCTCAGGTGGTGATCCCAGGGTCATGGCATCAAGCCCCATGTTGGGCTCTGTGCTGGGCATGGAGCCTGCTTGGGATTCTCTCTCTCCCTCTGCCCCTCCCCACACTCTCGTGCACTCGCTCTCTCTTCAAAATGAAACAAAACAAAACAGAACTACCAGTCCACAGGAAAAGCGAGGGAGAGAGGAGCATGATAAAAAACACTACAGGGACAAAATCAGACCACAGACTCTACAGGACGAATGGTGTGTTTACTCCCACAAATAAATGGCATTGTTAAAAAAAGAAAGAAAGAAAGAAAGAAAAAAAGAAAGAAAAGAAGGAAAGGAAATTGTCATTGATTAAAAGAGATTTAGGGGCATATCAAGCAAAGGTAATACAGAGACCTCATTTGGATCCTGATTGGAAGAATCAACTGCAAAATCAGACATTTTTGAGACAATCTGGGACACTCAAAAATGGAGTGGGTATTTGACAACAGTAAGGAATTGGTGCTAATTTTATTGAGGATGATGTGGTTTTGTGTTTATGTTTTTAAAAAAGGATAAAGATACATAGCCGGATGCCTTGGATTTGCTTTAAAACACTCCAGCAATGGAGCGCACCTGGCTGGCTCAGTCGGTATGGCATGCAATGCTTGATCGCGGGGTTGTAAGCTTGAGCCCCACGATGGGTATAGAGACTACTTTAAAAAAATTTTTAAAGCCTTTTTTTTCTTTTTTAGAGAAAGAGTGTGCACACATGCATGCATGTGAGCAGGAAGTGGGGGGGAGGGGCAGAGGGAGAGAAAGAAGCCCAAGCAGGCTGCACACCCAGCCTGGAGCCCTACATGGGGCTCGATCTCACGACCCTGTGATTATGACCTGAGCCGAAATCAAGAGTCCGATGCTTAACTGACTGAGCCACCCAGGCACGCCACCCCCCCTCAAATTTAAAGATCTTTAAAAAAAATATTTTTTTTTTCAAAAAAACACTCCAGCAAAAGAAATCGCTGAGAGGCAGGAGACAGGAAGGGAGGGGAGGACAGTGGGTGACTGAGAACAGCAAAACATTGATAACTGTTGAAGCGGGGTCATGGGTACACTAGAGTTCACAGTATCATTCTCTCTACTTCTGTGTGTTTGAAAATTTCCAAAATAAGACAAAATAAAGAGTAGAGGTGTCCTGAGCACTTCTTCCCAAACTGAGCTGCTGGGAATACCATGCCCCCCTAAGAAAGAAAGTATCTATGAGTCGCAGTTGAGCTGGAGAGAGCCTTACAGGCAAATCCGTGACCCAGAGGCATCAGACACAGCAGGAAAATCCCCCTGGAATGATTGTACAGAAGCATCCAGGATTTAGACAGCACTTATCATGTGCCAGACATAGCATTAGCTCTTCCGATGGTGGCCACGCCCCCTAAAAGTCCGTGCTATTAATGTGCCCATTTTCTTGATGAGGACGCGGAGGCACAGGAAAGTAAAGTAGCCTGTTCTAGGTCATGTGGTTAGGAATTCAAACCTATATAGGCTAGCATGCAAACCCCAGGCAGGCTGCCCCTGACCATTTCCAAGAGGGGCCATGGATGGAGGAAGAAACTTCAGTGATGAGCTCCATGGCCCTTGGAGCTAGCCCATCCCTGAAGGCCACTTTGTCACCAACCCAGGGAAAGGAGACAGAGAGGAAGAGACGTGGTTGTTACAGAAATCTCCAGAGCTGGACATTTAGCGCACCTGGATTTGCAGGCTTTGGTTCATAGCCCCCGAAACACCCACCTTGTGGATTATATAAGATGACCAATGTTCGGGCACCCAGCCAGCCGAGTGCCTGGCACTCAGTATTGGGACAAGAAAGGGCAGCCAATATGACCATTATTTCTTGATGTTATGATGATCGAAGAGCTCAGATCCTTCCCTGAACCACTCTTTTTTATTTCTCAGTCCCTTTACGTTGCCAGAAGGCGGGCCAGGCTGGTGGCCCTGGGGTCCTTGCTGAGGGACCTATATCAGGGATTACATCATTATTCATAGGGAAAGTGTCAATGTCAGCTGAGATGGGGATGAACAGGCTGTGGTAGGTCCACGCTATAAAATAGGATTCAGCCATAAAAAGGAACGAGGTGAGCCACGATGTATGTTTCTTCTGGGAGTGATGATGATGTTCTGGAAACAGAGCTCAGGGTTGCATGACGTAGCTAATGTACTATAAACACCACTGCGTTGCACACTTTAAAATGGTGAATTAATTTTATGTTATGTGAATTTTACTTAATTAAAAAAAAACACACACACACGCCAGTGTCATGAAGCCAAGGGAAGGGTGAGGGGTTGTTCCTCGTGAACGGGGACCACAGAGGCAGACAAGCGAATGCCATGTGACATGCTGGGCTGGAGCCCAGAGCAGGAAAAACCCATTTGCCGCAAAGGGCGTATTTGAACAACTGAGCAAGTTTGCTCAATCTGTAGCCCACACAATAATATTGCACCAAATGTTACATTTTCCAACAATGATAACTGTGCTCTGCTCATGTTGTCATGTCGGGGATGGTAATTGTTCTTGAGAAGTGAACACTAAGGTATTTGAGGGCCAAAGGGCATGATGCCTACCACTTACTCTCAAATTGTTCAGAAAAAAAGATGATAGATATATAGATCGATAGATAGATTAATGACAGACAGACAAATGATTGATAAAGCAAATTTGGAGAATCTGGGTAAAGACTATACTATATGGGAGTTCTTTGTATTATTCTTGTAATTTTTCTCTAAGCGTGAAATTTTTTCAAAAGAGAAAGTTCAAATTGTTGAAATATTTCTATTGGTAAATAGCCCCTGCTGGGAGCCTTACCCCTACCATCCCCCACCCCCACCCCCCCTGCCCCCAGCACCCTGGCTTCTTCCCATTTTCTTCTGGGACCCACCCACCCCCATCCCTCCACTCCCCCACCCCAATCCCCATGCTCCAGTTACTAAAGGGTGAATGCCAGGCACAGAAGGAGGCCCTAGACCACCCCTCTTTCCCACACCCCCCACCCCCCCGCACCTTAGGGTCGGCTCAGTATTGTGTGTCTGCCCTGGACCCCTAACATGAAGCTTTTGCCCGAGTGACGCAGACTCCAAAGGCGAGCATCCATCCCCACACCCTGTTCTCATGCTCCCTACTCCTCCCATCAGCTGACAAAGCTCCTTCCGGGCATGAGCTCATGGGGCCCTTTTCCCTTCCCTGACTTCATGAGGGCAGAAAAAAAAAAAAAATGCTGATTCTAACACCCTGCAGCTTTCAGGATCCTCCCAGTGCAAGTGGCTTGAAAAATCTCATCCTTGCAGCGTCCCTACAAAGATGGGAAATAACCGGAGTGTCCAGCACAAGGTGACTGGCTAAATGACTGATGACACGTGCAGAACAACAGAACGCTATGCAACTATCTGAAAGAATGAGGTGTCGATGCACTGATGTGGAAGGAGCTCCAAGATCCAGGGGGACACCTAGAAAGCAATGACCAGGGGCACCTGGCTGGCTTAGTGGGTGGAGCGTGCAACTCTTGATCTTGGGGGTTGTGGGTTCAAGCCCCACTTTGGCATAGAGAGTACTTAAAAACAAAAGAATATATTTTTAAAATAAAATCTTAAAAAAATAATAAGAAAAAGCAAGGACCAGATGGTGCATAAAGCAGGCTACCTGCAAAAGAAGACTCTCTCTCTCTCTTCCTCTCCCTCTCCCTCCTTCCCTCCTGTGTGTGTGTCTCTCTCTCCAGAGCAGCTCTAGAGGAAGACAGAGGAAGCCTGTACCAGTGGTTGGCCCCAGGAGGCGGAGGGAAGGGAGGGAGAAAGGAGGGGGCGCTGGGCAGTGGTGGGGGGGCAGGCACTGGAAGGAAGCATTTCACCGTATATATTTTTGTTCCTCTTGTATGAGGAACCACACCAGTGAGTGCACTGCCCATTCCAAGAAACAGACATTGTATAGCAAATATAAAAGAATTTGTGGTTCCACAATTCTAGGCAGAATTCTTCACGGCACTAATGTTAATCAGCTGGGGGGCCCTGACACACCTAG